CCAAGCAGAGGAAGAAGTCCAGTCAAGGGTGCCCAGGGGCATGAGTCTTGAATCTACTAGGGGGAGGGAGAGGCAGTGAGGTCCCCATCTCCCCCAGGGCATGTATGCTAATCTGTCTACTAGCCATGCACAGTTGTGGAGCCAGACTGTTGAGAGGATGTCAACAATAAGAACAGAGTTGGGAGAGGGGGGGAAGGTAGGCAGGCTTCCAGAGGCTTCTGTGTGGTCACCTGTGCTATATCAACCCAGGTTTCCAAGCAGAGTTTCCTAATGGGAGCAGCAGCTGTATCTTAGAGACTCCAATGTGAAATACACCTGTGTGCCTGCTCCCAGTGTTCCCTGCAGCCTGGCCCCTCTCTGGTGTTTGGTTAAAGATATAAAGCAGTCTTTTCAGAGGCTCTGAAGGACTGCTGTTTCTTTGAGCTAATTACCTCACCAGAGGTGGGGGGTGTGGACTGATTGCTCCTGAGCCGTGTGCTGTCTAGGACGTGGATTGAACTGTTAGCTCCAAAGGCTCCCGGGAGAGGTAGCCATGCCCACCAGAGCTCTGCACAGGCCTGAGCTGTCCATGGGGGAGTACACAGAAGGGAATGAGGAGAGAAGAACTGGCAGAGGCCCAGTAGCATGCACTTCTGGACCCCTTTGAGACGGACTGTCTCTGGCAGAGCTATGGGACAAAGGAATCAGGAAGGTCAAGACTTTCCATGGCTCCCAGCATTTAGCTTTGGGAGACAGCACTCACAGCCTGTGCATCTGCCTCTACCATGTTGTATGCTCAAGGCCACTGATTCCCAGTCACTGAGGGATGCAAGAACTGCCTCCTGTTCTTCGGATAAGCTAGCTCTGCTGGCCTCTGTACTTGCAGCAACAGTACCAGGCAGCGCCGGAGACTCATAAGCCTGTGCTAGCTGGGTGACCACAACTAGCTTCTCACCCCAGTGTCCTCATGTAGGTGGGTGAAGCCTGGTGTTGACATGGTGAACTTTCTCCCCAGTGGCTCTCATTTGCAGACCTGGGTCACATGCTGAGAGGCTGTCCTCTTTCAGCCCATACCAGTCTGTAGCATCGAGTACCAGCAGCTGGAAGCAGGTTAAATAAAGGGAGGCTGTGTAAGGACAATTCCTCCACTTTGAGAGGATGGACCACCTACCTGCAGGGAAGCCAATCCTGGCAGAGCAGGATGCACACACTGTACCAGGTGATGAGGAATGTGTTGGTGGGGAGACCCTGGGGCCATCAGGTAGAGTTGGAGGAAGGCAGGAGAAAGCATTGGAGGTTGTTTCCTAGGAATCCTCAGGGCTGGGCTCAGCAGTGCCAGGCCCTCTGGCATCTCGAGATACTTGTGTTCAGCTTAGTACACCTGCAGGTGTGCAGACGTGGCCCCATCCTTCCAGCATCGCAGGGTATCCACGGCAACAGAGCGGCAGAGTGGGCAAGTGCGCTCCCGGTCCAGCCACAGGCAGAGGCACTCCTCACAGAACACGTGCTGCAGGGACAGCAGCAGAAATGAGTGTGATCAAGGAGCTGGGGACAGCAGCAAACTAACCAGGTCATCCTTGCCCTCCAGAGGCTTGCATTCCAGGAGGGGAGACAATGGGCCCCAACATGTCTAAAATAGAAATGCCAGTAGCTGGTGTTCTGGCTGGAAGGCAGAGGTGGGGTATGTGGAAACATCCCTGAGAAAGCAGCACCTTTTGTAGGAAGGTGGAGTTGGCTGGGGGGTGGTACACACACCTGAACAGCATGTGCAAAGCCCTGAGGCCAGGATGTGTGGCTGAGTCAGAGAAGCAAAGGGATACTGAGGCAGACAGGCACACAGAGAAAATGAATATGAGGTCAGAGGGCTGATGGGGGCACAGACTGTATAGAGCCCTGTGAGCTGTGTGAGGACTTGGACATTTTTCTTTTTGGTAGACATTATCGTATCTTTCTTTAAGACAGGGTGTCACTCTAGTCTAGACTGACCTGGAACTCACTATAAAGCCAAAGTTGGCCTTGAACTCTTGGTTAAGCTTCCTGCCTCAGCATGCAGATGCTGGCATCCAGATGCAGGCATGAGGCACAATGTCTAGTTTGGCTTTATTCTGGGAGAAGTATGGAGCCAGGGTAAAGACCTGAGCAGAAGACTGACCTGACAGGATTTCCTAAAAAAAAAAAAAAAAAAAAAAAAAGATAGGACCTCATCCAGGCTGGGGTCAAACTTGCTATGATCCCAAGGATGACCTTGAACTGGTGACCCTCCTGACCGTAGCTCCCCAGTGCTGGGGTGACAAGTGTGTACCCGGGCCAAGTTTACTCAGTACTGAGGATTGACCCCAGCATTTCATACATGTCAGGTGAGAACTCTGCCAACTAAGCTTACATGTCCAGCATACTGTTTATAATTTTATAAATTTAAAAGCCCCATTTGTTGAGAACATGCTGGTGGTCCACACAGGTTCCCGCACAGGCCATATAAGTTGGGTGAGTTCCCTCGTGACTCACTTTCTTCTTTTACAATATGGGTGTAGTAACTCTGTCTTAGCACACTTAGCAGACATGAAATTGGCTTAGACATGACAGCCAAAAACATGGGGTTTCTCTCTCTCTCTCTCTCTCTCTCTCTCTCTCTCTCTATATATATATATATATATATATATATATATATATATATATGCTTCTGACATAGCCTTGACTAGATCTATCACTGTGTCTAAGAAATGGATGTGTGTTAGGACAGAGACTCATGGGACCCTAGTGTGAGGAGGCAGACCCTGTGTCTGCCTCCTCAGCAGAGAACTGATAGAGCCTGGGGTCAAGTGAAGGAATTCAAGGGGCCAGGTCTTCCCAGAGCCCCATGAGCCTCAGCCTGTCTCCATCTACCTCTACAGAGGGAGGAGCCATATGGAGGACGAGATGGAGTATTTTTCCTAGCTGGGGTCAGATGGCCAGGAATGCAGTTGGTGCTGGAGGGTTCTCTTCTCCAGGCTGTGACTCACTAATTGTGGAGCCCTAGGGACTGCGCTCACACACTAGCTACCTGAATCGAATCTAATCTACACTGTGCTGAGACATCATAGACAGCACATGGCTGGATAAACCACAGACACCAGCCTTTTGAGAAGGAAGAGGCTGTGAAGGCAGAAGGACATCTCTTGTCGCAGGACTTATGCATGAGCTGAGGATGGTGGACCAAATGAGCCTGGGGAAAGCAGTCACAGGTGGGGCTAGCAGGTCAGTCATGGGCAATTCCACTGTCCCTTCACTGCTAATGAACTCTATGCCTGTGATCACTAAGAGATGGGGTCAAGACTCAGAGAGGGGAAGACATAGGCCCAAGGACATATGGCAGCTAGGCAGTGGGACTAGAATTCACAGGAGTGTGGCAGGCAGCTGTCTATCATGGCCTGGGTGACCTTTTCCTCCTAGGATCCACTACCTTGTGGACCTCTATCCTGGGTGCATTGCTTCTAAACAACACAATACAGTAATGGAAGTGACTTCCGGATTAGATTATAAAAACCATGACTTTCAACTTGCTCACATTCTCTGAGATCCTCATAGGTTTGTTCCAACAATACCAGCTTGGCAAGGAAGCCAGAGCAGTTTCTGGCCACAACAGACATCAAGGAACTTACAGTCATATACGTAGCAAGGAACTGAAGGTAGTTCATAACTGTACCCTAAAGCTTGTAATTAGCCGCTCCCTCAGGTGAGCAAGGAGACCCTTGATGTTACTTTGTGAGTCATCTCAAAGCAGAGGGCACAGATAATCTGTGTTTGGATTCATGGCCCATAAGAACTATGAGGTCACAGATGTTTATAGTGTTGCTAAGTTCTGGAATAATTTGTTATGCAGCAGTGGTAGCTGATACAGAGTGTCTGACTCTAGCAAAATCATCACCTGTTATGTGCTATTGTGTATAGTGTGCACACTGGGAGGGTCTGGGACATGAGGTCAGAAACAATTGATTCTGGAAAAACTTGGCAGAAATGTGGCTCTTATACAAGACAAACAAACACATCGACCAATATCAATTAATCAATTTCAGAACAGCCAGGGCTATACAGAGAAACCCTGTCTCAAAAGACAAAGGAAGTATTTAGCATATAAGGATGCAGCAGTCCCAGGCAGGAGTGCAGAGCCTGGATCCCAGATCAGCTATGCCCACATCCTGAGGAGGCCATGAGCACAGGCTTTGCTGGACAGATAGCAGCACGTTGGCAAGAATTCCAGAAAAGGTGCCCTAATCCACCAGCACAGCCTCCAGGATGCCTCCAGGCAAGAGGCTGAGGCTTAGTGGAAAGGGCAGAGTCAACAGCACTCGAGGCCCTGGGTTTAGTTCCTGGTTCTTCTATACCTTGGGTGAGCAAGTCTGCCTTCGTGAACCCGTATCTGTTCTGTTAATAAACAGGACTCCTCTCTCCCCACAGGGAGTCTAACGATGGAAATGGATATAGCCTTCTTCTTCTTCTTCTTCTTCTTCTTCTTCTTCTTCTTCTTTTTTGGTTTTAGTTTTGGTTTGGTTTTTGAGACAGGGTTTCTCTGTGTAGCCCTGGCTGTCCTGAAATTCACTCTGTAGACGTACACCAGGCTGGCCTCGAACTCACAGAGATCTGCTTGCCTCTACCTCCTGAGTGCTGGGATTAAAGGTGTGTTCCACCACCACTCAGTTGGATACAGCCTCTTAAGCATCAAGTCTGAACAAATTTTAAACCTCAAATCAATGGGTGTCATGGCTCTCCTGACTTCTTGTCGGTTGTTCACACACTCAGCCAGGCTCACTGTGGTCAAGAATGTTCACACTCAGCCAGGCTCACAGTGGTCAAGAATGTTCACACACTCAACCAGGTTTACAGTGGTCAAGAATGTTCATACTCAGCCAGGCTCACAGTTGTCAAGACTGTTCACACTCAGCCAGACTTACAGTGGTCAAGACTGTTCACACACTCAGCTAGGCTCACAGTGGTCAAGAATCCATCCATCCATCCATCCATCCATCCATCCATCCATCATCCATTCACCTATCCAACCACCTACCTATCCATCTATCCCCATGTGTTAATATCAATCCATCATCCATGTCCAGCCATCCATAGTCATCCATTCACCTAGCTATCTACCCACCCATATTCATCCATTCATCCATATCCATTCATCCCATCTATCCACCCACCCAATACTCACTGTGCCAGAACTATGTCTCTGATGCTAAACAAAACAGTCATAGCCTCCACTCTCAAGGTGCTTGCAGTTTGGCCAAGGGGAGACAGATCTTGCACAATCATTAACTCCATAAATTATCATGGTAACAACTAAAAAGGGATCTGTGGTGAAAACCCACAGGGTATAAGGTATATAAGACCATAATGTATAAGAACACACTGTGTAAGACCATGGTGTGTAAGACCATAGTAGCCAGGAACATGGCAAGTCTGGGGAAGCATGAATGGGGAATCTTTTATTTTTTTATTTTTTTAAATTTATTAGTTCTAGTTATGGGGAATATTTCTTAAGTGACACCTGAGCTCATTCATTCATTCATTCATTCATTCATTCATTCATTCAATGACAATAAGTCCTTTTTATCTGTATGGGTCTTCTCTGCCCTTGCAGACCCACCACACTGCAGCAGAGCAAGGTGGAGTTGCGAGTTCAGTTAGCCACTGTATGTGGCTGTCACTCCCAGATCTAAGACAATGGTGTCTTGTTCACCCTCTGCCAAGAATTCCTCATCCCACCTTTGGGAAGGTGTGCTACCCGGGAGAATGGAAGAGACAGACAGATTGAGGCACAGAGAGACTGCCAGGAGAATGACTTGCCATCATGTTCAGATAATCCCTGTCACAGAGCAGGAAATACAGATGGCTCCAAAGCACGAGCAGAGATGCCCAGCCACGCTCATAATTAGGGAAATGCAAATGAAAGCAGAGCTGAGACAGCACTGTCACCTGTCAGTCTGGCAAAGCAAGGGGTTTGGTAACACTGCCTGTGTGTGCAAGCGAGGGTAGGAGTAAGGAGCTGGCCACACTCCGTATGAAGAATAGGCACGTAGTCTCTCCAAAGAAGGCAATTTAGCAAGATCCACCAAAATGGAGGACCCTCTGACCCGGTAATTCTACCACTAGGAATTCACATTACTAAGGGCATGTCCACATCCAAGACAGAACACCTGCTGGGAACAGCTACCTTGTGCTGAACCCCAGTCACAGGCCACGTGAGGCTTGGGAGGCTCTACCTGAGTGATTTCATTTAATCAACACCATAGACTCAGGCAGGCATAATCAATCTATTTCAGTAACCTTTGAGACAGCCATCTTTGCAGCAACAAAAGATGCTAGAAGACTGTGTGCCTCAGTGAGGAAATCACTAAACAAATGGCGGTCTATTCCCAGAATGTCAGGTCTGCAGCTCTTAAGTATGAATAAGGACTGATTTCTAAGCGCTAGTCACAGGCTACAAAGGTGCAGAGCAACACACAGCTCAGGAAGACTATGTGGCAAGCTCAGTTTGTTTTAAAAGATGTGTATGGATGTGTATGTTTGTATACATGTATCCAGATAACACATGTGCATGATATGTTTGCCATGACTGTAAAGTCTACAAAATATCTGTGGCAAGAAATAAAGGAAGCTGGTCACAGAGTTGCTTGTGAGGGCCAGGACGGGACGAGACCTGAAGATGAGGGCAAACAGCCTCTCGCTAATGTCTGCATTCATTACTTATTTGTTTGGTGTGTACGCTTACCCCACAGTGCATGTGTGGAAGTCAGAGGAGAATTATGGGGTTCCAGGGACTGAACTCAGGCCATCAGGCTGTATAGCAAGCACCTTCACCTGCTCAGACACCTTGCCACTTTGCTGGCTCTATCCTGGTATATATTGCATAAAATTTTTTTCTTTAAAAAAACAAACAAACCCTTTTGTTCTGGAAGAAGTTTAAAGTCATTGAAAAGTTTGATGATGGAAACATGGTCCTCACCATGTTTCCAATGCATTATTGCATGACTGGGATGAGGATTTGTCAAAGCTCAAAGAACTGGGCTGACACTACTGACAATTCCAGACTCAATTTAAATTTCATAAAAACACAGCCATTTATTATCATCCTCTGTCTTGAAATCCAAATGGAGCCCAGGCTGGCCTTGAACTTGTAGAGGGAGATTCTTCTGCCTCCACCTCTCAAGTGCTGGGATTAAAGATGTACACCACCATACCTGGCTACACTGTCCATTAAAAAAAAAATAACATTAAGGGGATGGGTTGTAGCTCAGTTAGTAGACTGTTTGCCCAGCATACACGAAGCCCTGGGCATGACAGTGCACATTTACTATCTCAGTACTTGAAAGGCAGAGGCAGAAGGATCATGTTCAGGCATTCTTAGCTACATAGTGAGTTTGAGACTATGAGACTAGTCTGGGCTACATGAGACCCAGTCTCACAAAAACAAAACAAACAAACAAACAAACACTTCAATTAAAAACAAACTCCTATAAAGTCTCTCTCAAAAGCAGCAGTAACAAATTTCTTCTTGCTAATGCTAAAAGAGGACTCTACCCCCTATCCCATCTTCCGAGGGTGTTAGAGAGGCCATCTGCCTTTCTTCTCAGTCCTTCTGGAACCCAGGCTTATGCAAAAAGCCTGTTCAGACTGGAGCACATCACTCTCTGCCCGGGTCCCTAGGGACTCTGCATGAATCTCTCTTACACAGCTCTTATCACTGCCTGCCTTGTTTCATAGTTATTTATGAATATGTGTCTGCATCCCTAAGGAGACCGAGAGCTTCTAGAGAAGGGACAGGCTCTGTGCATCCTTCACCTCGCCTCTGAACTCTGATTGGTTGCTCTGACCCAGCTCACATTTACTGAATTGACACCTAGCCCCTGAAGTCAGGAAGAGAGGAAGGGGCATGTTAGGGAGTCAAAGCACTTACCACTGTGGCTTGGGGACCCCTGATAATGAAAACAAAGGATAATAATAACTGTGCAGAAAATAACAAAGACAATACTGGCAACTGCTGTGGTTCAGCCATGCAGGTTTAGCTCTGCAAGGATTATCTCATTTAAATGCAGCTGGAGCTGATGCAACAGGCACAATTAACTCTTTTAACTGTAGTTGGACACATATGTAGTAGGCAGCATCAGGATCATTTTATACTTGTCAAGGGGAGATGGAATAGCAAGCCCCCCCCCCCCCCGCCATTGCACCAGGGATCAAAAACACATCTGTGATCTCAGTGCTGGGAGATTGAGGCAGGAGGATCCTGTGTTTGAAGGTTCTGGAGTGACATGGTGAGACCCTGTCTCAAAACACCAAAAAAACAAAACAAAAAACAACAAACAAACAAAACAAAACAAAACAAAACAAAACAAAAAAACATGGAACGCTGCTGGGGGCTGGAGGTATTCAGAGGTACAATGCACACTCAGCATGAGGAGGCCCTGAGTTAGATCCACATACAAACCAAGTTCTACATTTACCAACACTGGGGTTCAGAGAGAAAAGCAGCTGCCGTTGGCTACCCTGCCAGTTAGGGGCAGGGCTGAGATTCAAACCTTGGTCTAGCTGCCTCTGGTCTTGACAGGTTGCCCCCAGAGTCCACACTAGAGCCCTGAGATCCGCTCCCAGAATGGGCTTTTCTGGATCAGGGTCCCACTGGGCGCTGCCTACTCACCTGGCACAGGAGAATCATAGGGTCTCGGAACTCAGCCTGGCAGATGGCGCAGATGGCACCCGCTTCTGTGCACTGCTGCCCCGTGGCTCGGACCCCATAATTCTGTTTGAGGAAGAGGGAGCGGGGGAGACAAGAGCGTGAGCCCTCGAGGGAAGCAGTATCTGTGGGGTTAGAAAGGGTTGCTGCAGGCTGCAGTGTCTGGTTCCCAGGGCCCAAGGCTCACTCACCTGCGAGGTGCAAAGTAGCTTCAGTGCTTTCCTGACTCCACCCACTCGACCACAGATGTCAAAAGACTGAAAGCAAAGCAGAGGGAAGGCTGAGAACCTTCTCCTGGAAACCCCCACCTTTGCCTTTGATGGTTTTCAGGAAACATCTTCCCACTTCTATCTGCATTTTGCCTGACTTCTGTCCTGATGCCCGATATTCTGCTCTGTTACCCTGATCAGATAGATAAATAGCATATATACTGTCTTTCCCCTTGCCAAGCCCTAGCAGGCACTACTAATCAATCAGCACTCTTCCACCACTACAGCCAGTCACTGGTAGCTGATCAGAGTGAGCAACATGAGGCCCCAAGGCTGGTTCTACCTGGATGGCCTGATTGGAGTGAAGTGAATGCATTCACTGTCCCTAGACAGAGGAGAAGGAAGAGAGCAAGATAGAGAATGGGTTTCCCTTTAAGGACCAATTTGATAGTTTAGTGGGTAGAGATATTTGCCATCAAGCCTGACTTCCTGAGTTCAATACCCAGAACTCACAGGAGTGAAGTATAAACCTGACTCTTGCAAGTCGTCCTCTGACCTCTACATGTACACTGTGGCATGTGCCGGGCCCACCTCTGATACTAAATAAATTCATTTTAATAAGTATTGGTATATGCTATGATGCTAGGAAGTGGGTGAACCTCAAAAATGTTATGGTAAATCAAACAAGCCACACCCAAAAGGTCGTTGCACACCCCGCCGATAACACCCAACACCAGCACATCTGTAGACACGGGGTGTGGTTTAGTGGCTGCTGGGTTCTGGGAAGCAGCAGGAATGGAGAATGTCTGCTACCCAGGAAAGCTGGGTACTGGCTTTCTTTGTGGGACAAGGCTTGGGAACATATAGAGGAGGTGGTTGCAGCACACTGTGCCAGCAAATGCCACTGACTTGCACATGACATAAGGTTAGCAGCAGCCTGGCCTGGTGATGCAGGCCTGTAATCTTTTCCAGCTTCTCCTGAGGCGGAGGCAGGAGGATTGGGAGTTCAAGGCTGGCTTGGGAACTTGGTGAGAACCTGTACCAGAGTTTTAAAGAGGGATATGGCTTAATGGTAGAGTGCCTGACCACCATGAGCAAAGCCCTGGATTCAATTCTCAGCACAAAAGAAAGAAAGTAGGAAGGAAGGAAGAGATAAATTGACTGATGGCTAATTCAATGTTATATGAAATACATTTTGATTTGGAAATATTAGTGGCTGGCCCTTGCTCCTCAGCAGCACCTTAAGCCAAGCCCAGCCTGCCCTGGGCCAGCTCACCTTGCATAGACTGTAGAGAATGATCAGGACCCCTCCTAGGAAGTAGCTGTTGGAGGAGTCGTCCCCCATGATGTATTTGTACCACAGCTGGATGGGAACGAGAGATCTGAACAGCTGGCTCAGCTCCTCGATGACCAGATAAAACTTTCCCTGCAACCACACAAAAAGCATCAATTAGTGTTAGCAGCAAAGACCCAGAGGACAGAGCTGGGGCTCAGGCATGGCCATAATGACAGTTCAGGTCATAGGCAGGCCATTAATCAGCTTTGGAAAGCACTCAAGCTGGCTCTAATGGGGACCGATGGATGTGGCCAGGGAGACATGGCTCCTGCCTGAAGTCCTTGTCTACCGCCCACTACCCACTGTCCACAAGATCAAAGTGCCAGGATCAGGTGTCAGGGACGGAGAAACACAACACTTTGGACAGTGGGCAGGCGTGGTCACTGTCTGACTGGGTGCAGTATGGAGGGCAAAGGACAGTTGCTGCCTACCCAAAGTTACCCAAGGGGGCTGACTCTGGCACCACAGGACAGGAGCAAGGAGAGTCAGGCTGGGAACCAAGGGGAGTTCCATCTCTTGTGGCTCCAAAGGGGCCAGATGTTACCTTGGGAAAGATCTTGACATGGGCCTCACTTTTTCTGGGTTGACTGTCATACTAACAAGCCCCAGAATGAGATTCCCATTTTTTACCCAATGGGATTGCTCTGAGAATTAAAGAGGGTGAGCAGGAAGAGGACCTAGTTCCGTGCCAGGCCACAGGTTCAGGGGTTCTTCTTCCCTTTGGCCTTGAACAAGTCTCATGGGGGCCTTACTAGGAAAGGGAGAGAAATGTACCCCCACTACATGGGATCTAATGGACACGAACAACTCACTTGATGGGGAACCCTTGACACCCCTCCAAGAGCTTCCCCGAGAGAAATAGACATGGTCCCACTTGTGGGAAATGGTCTTGGCAGCTGTAGCCACAAGCCCCACCAACTGGAAACTGCCTAAATGCATCACCCACAGTTGAACACATAACAAAAATTTCTGGCGATATTTATAAAATAGGATATTACTCAGTTGTTGCAACTAACAGATGACTGATATGTTTATCAATGTGGATGAATTTCACAGGCATTATGGTACTTCCAAGATGGTTATGAAAGACTCCATAGTGGGCTGGGGAAATGGCATAGTGGATAAAGTGTTTGCCAAACAAATGTGAGGACTGGAGTTCAGATCACTACCACTCACATGAAAGCCAGGAAGCTGTGCAGTTCACCTATAATCCCAGAGTTTGGGAATCAGGGACAAGGGATCCCAGGGAAAGCTGGCTAACTAAAGTAGCTGGATCTGTGAGCTTCAGGTTCAGTGAGAAATCCTGCCTCAGAACACAAACTAGAGAGTTATTGAGGAAGACACCTGACATCAATTTGGGGCCTCCACATACACACATACACACAAAAGACATATACATACATGGATGTCACACACACACACAACACACACACACACACACACACACACACACACACACGACTCCACATGGTAATTCTGTTTATATGAAGTCTCAGGATAGATAACATTAAGCTATGGTGATAAAACCAGAACCCTGGCTGTCTAGGGTGAGGATGAGACTCTAAAGGGACACCAGGGAATTATGGGACATAACAGAAGGTTCTTCACTGATTGTGATGGTGCTTATGTGGGAGTGGTCACATACCCCAGCTCACGGAAACTGTTGCAAAGCTGTGTTCTTTATGTACATCACACTTGAATCAGACTGAGTCACATATACATACATGAGCTGACAGCTCTTCCTCAGTCTCCACAGCCTTAAAAGTGTGAGCGAGCTCAGTAGCTGTAACTCTTCTAGTGAAATAATCAGGGCTTTGCACAAAGACGCACCAAGAAGGAAGGTCACCTGGATGATCTTTCTAACAGCAGAAAAGGTCACAAAGGAAATAAGCGGTGGGAGTCTGACTGTTGGGGATCTATGGTGGAAAGCCACACAGCTATGAAAGATTATTCTCCATAACAGCAACTCTGTGGTTAACCACACACCCTATTACCCAAGCAACCGAGGTCAGCACCCCCAGTAATAAGTCACCCTAACACCATGAACCTTAGAATATGACACACTAGGAAGGACAGTGTCACTTCTGTGGTCCTCAGTGGAACCACCAGAAAACAATAGTTGAACTTAAATAGTTGAGCCTGCAGAATAACCCCCCAGCACTCTTCAAATCAAAGATCAAGGACTGAATGATGGAATGAGGCTAAGGAGAAATGATAAGCTAGTGCAGTATGGAAGCTTGAATTGCTTTAAAAACGATCATATATTATTTAGTTAGTGTATGTGTGCTGTGGGTGTGTAGATCAGAGGACACCTTGCAGGAGTCGGTTCTCTCCTTCCAACCATGTTGGCTCCAGGGATCAAACCCAGGTTGTCAGTCTGGCAGCAAGCACCTTTGCCAGCTAAGCCATCTCACCACCCAAAGGGGCTCTTTGTACCCAATTCTTGGCATCTGTCATGATGGCCAGGCACAAGGCATCCAGAAGGTGACACCTTAAAGCAGATATGCACAAGGACTAAGAATGGCCATCTAGCCATCTGGCCCCTTGCCCCAGAAATATCACCCGGAGGCAAATTTAGTTCCTAAGTCCTGCCTCAGCACACAGAGTTATTGAGGAGAACACTTAACATCAACCTGTGGAAGTTGGGGGATCACTGCCATGTGGAAATGCCATAGAGCCATGGATGGCAAAGGCTCCACTCTGTCTACACCCTAAGGCAGGTCCCAAGCTCTGCAGAATGCTACTGCTGTGCTGCTCTCCCAATCTCAGTTGTTCCATGTTTCCCCACACCCCCTGAATTGTTGTCATTAAGTATGTTAGTTACTTGTCTTATTACTTAGACCAAAAAAAAAAAAACCTGAAAGAAACAACTGGAGGTAAGAATTATTCTGGTGTCAGAGGGCTCAGAACATGGGCACTTGGCTTTCTTTTTTTAATTAATTAATTAATTAATTAGTTAATTATGTATACAATACTGCCTTCATGCATGCCAGAAGAGGGCACCATATCTCATCACAGATGGATGTGAACCACCATGTGGTTGCTGGGAATTGAACTCAGGACCTGTGTACTGTGAGGAAGAATACCATGGTGACTAGAGTGTGTGATAGAACTTCATGGTGGATGGGAAACAGAAAAAAACATCATCAGACAAGATGTATCCCCCAGGGACATGACCCAGTGACCTATTTCCCCCAGATAGGCCACAATAATGCCACTCAATTATGCATCCATGAAGAAATCCATCCATCTGTCCATCCATCCATCTATCCATCCATCATGTAGAGCCCTCAGATCTGTCTCAGGAGACATCCTTACAGACATACCTGGAGGTGTGCCTCAGTCAGCCTCAGATTGTGTGTGTGTGTGTGTGTGTGTGTGTGTGTGTGTGTGTGTGTGTGTGTATCCATAGGTATGCAGGTAAACACATGTGTTTTCATGCATGTGTGGAGGCCAGAGATTGAAACTGGGTGTCTCCCTCAATCACACCCACCTTATTTTCTGAGGTAAGGATCTCTCACTGAATCTGGCGTTCACATGCTATGCTGGCTCACCATCCTGTTGTCTCCATCAACCCATGCTGGAACTATGGGTGGGGTGACTGCCCTGACCAACTGATTTATTTGAATGTGGGTGCTAAAGACAGAATGCAAATCCTCATGCATGCATGCCAGGCAGTTTACCAACTGAGCCACTTCCAAAGCTCCTAATTATAGTTCTTAATCCAGTTCAGGTGACAGTTCAGGTGAGCTCTAGTAAGTTCCATGTCCACCCCAGTCTCTCCTAACTTCTAACAGTACCCTGTTTTTCCACTTTGTTCCTAAAGTCAGCTTCCGCAGAGAATTCTCCTTTATTCTCTCCCATGTACCCCACCATCCCTCAATCCTCCTTTCCCTTTTTAGAAATATGTGTGTGTGTGATATATGTATAGTTGTACGTGTGTGTTCGTGTGTATGCATGTAGAAGACAGAGGTTGACATCATGTGTCTTCTACAATCTTTCCTCACTTCATTACTGAGGCAGGGTCTTTGTTGAACCTAGACTTTGTCTAGCTAGCCAGCATGCTCTTGTCACCTGTCTCCATCGCCCAAGTGCTCAGGCTAACAGGCTCCAAACCCATCTGCCTTCTATGTGCTAGTTGGAGATCTGAACTCAGGTCCTCAAGCTTGTGTGCCAAGTGTTTTATCCACTGAGCCGTCTCTCCACACTCCTTAATCACTTGTCTTTCCTTTCTATGCATCAATCAATCCTTTCTTTCCATCCATCCACCCGTTTCTTTCCTTTATACCCTTTCTCCCGCCTCCCTCTCTTCATAGCATTCCATCTGTCATGCTGGACCCCGAGGCCCTCCCTCAGAGGAGGCTCTTGGGCCTCCACCCTGTGCCTTCAACACAGGGCATATGATTGCACACAGTGGGACAGGGGTCTCTGAGGGTGAAGGCTCCACCCTCGTTACTTCTGGTGCCTTCTTGGAGTTTGCTGACATCAGAGTGGAGTGGGAACATGGAAAAGAACTCCACTTCATCGGCAAGCCCTTGTGTCACAGAAAATAAAATCAGGGAAGTGAGCGCCTAGCAGCACCGTCTTAAAAGTAGCAATTAGCTGCCGGGTTGGGTGGCCACCGGGAACTGTGTATATCCAGGGAGAACATCCTCCCTAATTAAGCAGTTTCCTAATTCCAGGTTTCTCAAGCATGTTACTTTTGGCGACCACCAAACAGAAGGCGGGTTTCGATGGCATGTCCAACAATCAAAGGGGCGATGGGGTACGGCCCCTCTTCTCCCTGTCACCAGAAAAGAGGCATGTGGGGATTGTTGTAAGATGTATGGGGCGAGGGTTGGGGAGGTGAGGGGGGTGGTTCTGGACTTGGGTTGTGATGGGGGTGGTACCAGGAGAGCTACATTCTGCCTTCCTTGCTGTCAGGATGGGTCGGGACACAGAAAAAGCAGGGAAACAAGGAAACAACAAAAGCTCAGAGACAACCTGGGGCTGATGAGGTGGCCAGGATACCGAGGAAGGCGACGAATAGATCAGCTGATCTGAGAAATGGGGAGGAACCATCCGAGGCATTAGTATGGACACAGAACAGA